AGTACCATTAGCCATTGAAAATGATGTCAAACAGGAACTGGATCGGCCGGTAAGCAAAGGCGTATTGGAACCAGTTACTGAACCGATTAAATGGGTCAGTCAAATGGCTATCGTGCACAAAAACAACGGTAAGCTCCGGATCTGCATAGATCCTCAACCTCTGAACAGTGCACTTCAACGTGAGCACTACCAACTACCTGTGTTGGATGACTTATTCCCTAAGCTCAAGAACGCCAAAGTCTTCAGCAAACTTGACGTAAAAGAGGCTTATTGGCATGTTCGACTTGATGAACAATCAAGTAAACTCACTACAATGATAACCCCATTTGGTAGATATCGATGGAAGAGGTTACCGTTTGGTCTAAAAGTATCAAGTGAAATCTTTCAACGGAAAATTGATGAAGCCCTGGAAGACTTTTATGGTGTCTTCAATATTGTTGATGACATTATCATCGTTGGTTGTGGTGCAACTGAATCTGAAGCACTCGCTGACAACAACCAGAATCTCTCGAAGAGTATACAAAGATGTAAAGAAAGGAACATTACACTCAATGAAGATAAGCAAGAAACTGGACTCAAAGATATTACGTTCCATGGTCACAAGATCACTCGCAATGGCATTGAAGTGGACAAAGCTAAAGTTAAGGCCATAGTTGATAGGCCTGCTCCCACTGACGTAGAAGGCGTAAGAAGTCTTTGTGGCATGGCCCAATACGTATCCAGATTCATTCCAAATCTTGCACTGAGAAAGTTAACTCGCAAAAATGCCTCATTTGTATGGTCCACAGAATGCGAAGAAGAATTCGGCACTCTCAAGGAAAAAGCTGTCTGAATCTGCATGCTTGGCTTATTTTGATCCTTCAAAGGAAATTGTAATCCAAGTCGACAGCAGCCAGCATGGCATAGGTGCAGTACTTCTTCAAGACGGACGTCCTATTGAGTATGCTTCACTTGCACTGACGATATCGGAGAGGAACTTGGCTCAGATTGAGAAGGAAGCTTTAGTCGTGCTTTACGGACTAGAGTGTTTCGATCAGTACACTTATAGTCGGGCAGTGACGGTAGAGAATGACCACAAACCCCTGTCAGCAATACTCCGCAGACCTCTGAGCACAGCCCCTAAACGCCTTCAAGACTTGATGATGCGCTACAATCACTATAATGATTGCGCATTGCGAGTGATCATAATGTTTCATATGTTTGTTGTTGTTTGATTTATCATCTACGGGTTTATGTCGAATTAATTTGATGGCCTGCTCCCAGTTGGCTTGTTAGCTCAATTGATAGAGCGCTGCACTAGTATCGCAGAGGTCAGTGGTTCGAATCCCGTACAGGCCTGAAAGTTTTTGCAGGTCTGATTTTCACTATTGCTCAAATAGTGCTTTACTGCGAAGGATCGTGCTCATATACGTCTCATAACCGCAGTTCACACATATGTTTCATATGTTTGTTGTTGTTTGATTTATCATCTACGGGTTTATGTCGAATTAATTTGATGGCCTGCTCCCAGTTGGCTTGTTAGCTCAATTGATAGAGCGCTGCACTAGTATCGCAGAGGTCAGTGGTTCGAGTCCCGTACAGGCCTGAAATTTTTTTCAGGTCTGATTTTCACTATTGCTCAAATAGTGCTTTACTGCGAAGGATCGTGCTCATATACGTCTCATAACCGCAGTTCACACATATGTTTCATATGTTTGTTGTTGTTTAATCACTATAATGTCAACTTTTTGTTTGTAAAGGGATCTGAACCTCATCTAGCTGACACATTAAGCAGAGCTCACCTCAACTCCAATGGTCACAATCATGACAACCGTGCCCGAATCATGAACATCATATTCGGTAACATTTCTGATGCTCACCTGGAAGAAATACAGGAAGCAACGAAGAAAGACAATGGTCTACAAGATGTAATGGAACTAGTGATGAACGGATGGCCAGATGGAAAACGCAACATTCCTCCTTCAGCATTTCCCTCTTTTGACATCCGTGACACTCTATCTGCAGCCGATGGCGTACTCCTTAAAGGCGAAGCAATAGTCATCCCTCAATCTTTTAGCTCAAGAATAAGGAAGAGGCTACATAGCTCTCACCTCGGTGCTGACAGTATGCTCCGACGAGCACGAAGCTCTGTATTCTGGCCTAGAATGGTGAGCGACATAAAGCAGTTGGCTGACTCATGTGAAGCCTGCCAAGAAATGAAGCCAAAGAATCAACATGAGCCTCTCAAGCAACACAAGGAAGGTGACGAACCCTGGAAAAAGATTGGACATGACATTTTCCAAATTGCGGATAAGTACTACCTAGTAACTGTTGATTACTATTCTACATTTATTGAGGTTGATCTCCTCAGTACTCAAACAGGCACTCGTGTAATTAACCTACTCAAGAGTCATTTCTCTCGATACAGAATACCCAGAATGATTGTATCGGACGGTGGCTCACAGTTCTCCAGCTTTGAATTCGATTTGTTTGCTAAGGCCTGGCATATCATCCACTTGACTTCATCACCCATGCACCAGCAAGCAAATGGAAAAGCTGAAGCAGCCGTGAAATCCATGAAGAAACTGCTGATCAAGACTCACAAAGAAGGTAGTGATCCACTTGAAGCTCTATTGGAGCACCGCAACACCCCACGACAGGACGTTGGTCTTAGCCCTGCTGAACTCATGTTCAAACGTAAGACGCGCTCACTCATACCCTCATTCAACAAGCATTCGAGCAATGATCCCATTGAGGTAAGGCGTCAAGCGCGCAAAGGCACTGTCCAGAAAAGTCATGACAGGAAAGCAAAGAGTCTCCCTGAACTGGACGTAGGACAGCACATATTCTTTCAACATTTGGAAGGAAGAGATTGAAAATTTGGTGAAGTCTCCAACATACTAGGCCCAAGCCCTATGAAGTCAAAAAATCTGATGGAAGCACATATTGACGAAATAGAGTTCACCTTAGACCCACCCAAGTAAACCTCAAGACTCGAGATACTTCCCCATCTCATGTTCCTCACTCTTCCAACCAAACAGCACCAAAAGAACAGACGGCGTCTACCAAATCTTTACCTGGTGAAGTGGCAAATAACAGTGATAACAATGCAAGCAACCCCCAAAATGCTCAGCCCAACAGCCTTGCAGTAAATAGACCACGACGATCCATAAATCCTCCTGTTCGTTTTAATGACTATGTAATTAAGTAATTGACACTGATTTCTAATTGGTCATGATTTTATTATAGGCATGTTGACTTATAAACAGTACCTCTTACTCATAGTTTCGTCGACGTTGTAACTGTTTTTATTGACACTCCAAAAATTTCAAGCTTTCTTTTCTTTCTCCCAGAAGAAAGGATGTTGATTGGCTATCTCATCTGGTTGTCAGAATTAGCATAATTTATCATATTTAACGAGAGACTACGAGGTAAAATAAACATGGCAGCTGTGTTCTAGAATCTTAGTGCTTTTTGCTCGCCGCTTACTACTCTTTCTCTTTAATCAACTCTACAAATCAACAGGAAATGACATTAGGGTAAGCACTTGTTCTTTCTGAGATTTCTGAGGCATGCCTTACTGCGATGGCCGGAGATCAGCAGTTGTTTCATACTATCATGATCTGTATGAATTTTAACAGTTATGCTAGTTTGGTTATATTTTGAAGTTTTATTATTCCCTTTTTTTGGTTCTGTTATGTTTTCGGATACGAAAATATACTTACTATGCGAGTGTTGCCTGTGTCTCAGTTTTATTACCATATAAAAGCTGACAATCTGACTAAACAAGAAAAATTCAAGCAGTCCTTTTCGTTTTCTCTTTGGAGATTTTTGTTTCTGCTCAAGTAATGATAACGTTAATTACGCGCTTGGCTTGTTTACAAACCTTTGTTTGGTTTTTCTGTAACTAATTTCCGGGTCATTTGTTCCGAACTTTCGCTTTCAGTTAGCGAAAAAATAAAGAAGAGAGACGTCTAGTAAATGCTCGAAGTACAAATTGGCTGATGGCGGGCAGCTTTAGCTCAGCTCCTTGTAATAGAACACGCTCTTTCAGCCATTAGCAGCGCGCATTATATTCGAGCTTTATTATAATATAACTGATGTTAACGAAATGACCTGTGATCCTAATATACAGACCTGTACCTCATGAAAACAAACAAACGCTTCCCGAGAGAGAAAAAGAAAAAAAAAATAGTCAAGCATGCAAACACAAGACAACGAAGAGAAACAAACAGCAAAATACACGACCCAAAAAAACCCAGAACCGACGACGTATTTTCGGAATAAGATCCTGTATGGCAAACCTTTGTTTTAAGATAGGTATCCATTGTTTTGTAGAGGTTCACAAAATGTGGCCGGGCAGCGATTTCATATTTCCAGCAGCTTAACATAACCGCGTATCTATAGGAAAACAATGAAAGTTCCTAACATAAGGGTTGCATAACCGCAACTAGCTATAATTACACCTAAAATGCTAAGTTTAAAAAAAGAAAATCAGTTGGTTTAGCTTGTTACATTACAGTTCAAATAGAGCTTGGAATAAAAAAACCCATCTCATTCTGAATTTGACTCACCAACTTTGAACTGACTGAACTGGGTGATGTGAGTCTCATATTTTAAACGTCTATTTTCTGTTTTTTTATTTGTGTTGTTTTTTGCTTTGTTTTTGTTTTGTTTTGCTTTGTTCCGTTTTGTTTTGTTTTGGTTCTGTTTTGTTTCGATTTTTCTTTGCTTTTGTTTGGTTTCGTTTAGTTTAGTTTAGTTTAGTTTTGTCTCTTTGTTTTGTTTTTTGGTTCGCGCAAATTTGGTAGGTAGGCTATTTATTCCGTCTGAACAGATTTATAGGTTCAACAAGTATTTACACCATCATCACCAACATTATCGCTTTTTTCATCATCTGATAAAATTAATGCAAGCTACAATAAACCCGACCACGATAGCTATCGTATTGCACTTTATTTATGTAACCCTAAATTTTTTTTGTACAATCCATGTTCAGTATTACACAGAAGAAGCCGAACTTACAAACTGTTGTCGATATGTTCAGGCCTTGGCAAACGATAACCTTGATAGATTTTTCTTATTGTCGTGGTTTCAGACCATCCTTCGTATGGAATACCTCCTGTGGACAGGTAAATGAGCATAACTCTTTTGTTGTAATCACTTCCATCTTAATGGGAACGATTGGCATGATTTCAATGTTAAAACGATAGTTATCTAGGAATACTCCCGTTTACATCAAGTAAAAGATAGAAGAAGAAGCGTTTTCAAACAGTGTGAGTTTATTCATTAGCGACATTAAGTATTGCCATTACTTCTCTATCATGCAATGCTTCTTTAGCTGCTCATGGTATAACATTTCAACTGGCAATTGTGCAAGCAATCTCGGCGAGTATATTTTATGAAAGTAAACTAACAAATAAGTGAACTGAGTACCGATTGTGAAGATTTCAAACAGGACTATGCCATAAGACCACCTGCGAAGGAAATAGAAGGATGACGACTCATGTCAACCAGGGTAGAAAAGTTATCTTTAATTCAGATACTTCAATGTTTTAGAATATGTTTATCAAGATATAAACAATGCCTTAAACATAAAAAGCTCCATAGTTATTTATTTCATCATTCATTTATCTTTTCATCTCTTTTTTTTCCTGATGAGGTTTAAGTATTGCCCGTTGAACTTAATACTCATCCAAATCTTATACTGTAGTTCTACTCTCAGATTTCCCGGCTCGACGTATCCTAATGAACCTAGCTCTGATCAATAAAGCACTGATTATTTAACTCGTTAAGTAAGCATCGTAAACAGGTTGACACTTCAAATGTATATAATAACGGTTGCAGTACGTACACATCACTTTTGGTTGACAGCCGTTCCACATGGCCAATGAGAATCTCGGGTGCACTCCATTTGACTGGGATACATCCCTGGTTGAATATTTAGAATACTAAGAACATATGTAATTTAAAGACTCTGGAATACAATTATTGAGATATTTTTCATAAAGATTTATACCCTTTTTTCACCAAAGATGCGAGGAGTCGCGATAAATACAAGAGCAACACATGCGTTTCTACAAATCTCGTTAGTTACAAATCACGTGCTCGTTTTTCTTCACATCTCTTGTGTTAATCTGCCCTTCTACATGTTCGAGTTGGTATGCTTGCACTTGAAAGAACACTTATCAACTCCGATTTTCTTATTCCCTGCGTTCACTCCTCATGTTTGGTACAGCGTATAACCTGTTTTTTTGTTTGTATGAAAGTTTAGACACGCTTAGAATGGCATTCCGATAAGAGAAACATGTTTGGCGGTTAAACTGTATAAAAGGAAGTAAGGTTCGTCAGGATAGTACAAGGTTTGGTTTGAGTCTCAAAATAGAGGCCTAGTTGACGTCATTAACTGGTATTCGCTCATTTTTCGTTTTAGTTTTCTTGCATTAAAATCTTTCATACCCACAATCCCAAAACACATTTCTCGTCTATACATTAGGAATATATGTAAATGAGGCTAACCTCACATTATGATATATGATGTACTTGATGACAGTCAAATACAACTCGCTGAACAAGTGATTAAAAAATTCTGAAAATTACCCTCTTGGCATTTCCTGTACCGTATTTGAAATCCTGGTAAGAGAGCCCAAAATCAGTCAACTTGCAGACACGATGCTCGTCGAGGAGGATGTTGCGAGCTGCAAGATCGCGATGAATTATCTGAAATTGAAAAAAAAAGGATGCAATGGGATAATAACGAGATAAATAAAGCACACATCGAAACCAGTCGCTAGACATTTGAATTTACCTAATCATTCTAAGCAACATATGGCAATCTGCGGTCTTTCCTTACACTTAGGTAGCACGGAAAGCCGTAGAAATCTTGAACAAAAGTTCATCTTTCAAACCGGCAGGCTAAATCCCACAGGGATCAACGAACGCTTTTTATTCCACTAATTTATTCTTGTTTTTCTCGTTTGCCATGTTCCCACAAGCAACATATGGCAATCTGCGGTCTTTCCTTACACTTAGGTAGCTCGGAAAGCCGTAAAAATCTTGAACAAAAGCTCATCTTTCAAACCGGCAGGCTAAATCCCACAGGGATCAACGAACGCGAACGCTTTTCATTCCACTAATTTATTCTTGTTTTTCTCGTTGCCATGTTCCCACCAATAACGTAGCTGCATTTTCTGCCTTTAAAAGCACACACAACCCACAATTCCTCTATTCGCTCCGACGAAGGGCTAACGCTCGAAACGTCAGCTTTTGAAATCGTTACGGTGGCCAATTTACCTTTTCAACTTTGTTGATATATCCAAATTATTAAATAAAGAACACGTAATCATATCAAAGAAGAAAAAAGAAAACAAAAGTTTCTTTTAAACTATTTTCGTGTGACTTAGTGTACCAGTGTGCTTTAACTTTTTAGTCGTATGGTGATCGATTCGCGAAATGCAAACCAAGAAGAGTTTAAGCACTTACCCCTCTCGACGCGAGAAAAGTCATACCATTTGCGATTTGTTTGGCAAAGAGCACCATGTCATATGTTGTCAAGTGGTCGACCCTACCGACCCCACGATGATAGTGGTCGAAAACCCCCCTTGATTTTCTCAGATAACCCAACAAGTCACCTCGCCACAGATACTCCATGATAAGTATTGGCTGAGCTAAATAGGTTTAAACACGAATTGGCAATTTGTTAAAATAAGGGAAGGAGAGTAGACATTCCAAATCATCCAAAATGTTGTAAATTGTACACGCTTTGTTATTCATATCGTAGGTATATCTGTTATGAACCAAAGTAGAGACAGACAGGGTAACTAGAAAAAAGGAAACACACGGACAGACATACAAAGACAGGCAGACACATACGGCGATAGAGAGCTACAGACGGTCAAAGGAAACAGAAGACAGACAAAAAGAGATGGCAGATAAACAGAGAGAAAGCAAATATTACCAAGCTAAATATTTAAAAAAATACGCACAATTTGAGCTGAATCTCTCTAACACACACAAGTATATCTATATATATATATATATATATATATATATATAGAAATACATATATACTCCTTGAATTAGTACGCCATCTTAGCAATATAAGTGATTCTACCAGTCGTTCACCTCAGCTGATTACAATCATAACAATAGCTGATTACCTCCAACTGTAACACAGCCAATGAACTTAACAACATTCTCATGGCCCATCCTTCCAAAGAGTTTCAATAACTCGATCTCTCTCAGCAGGGCCTTCCTTCCTTCCTCTCCAGAGATTGCTGGGAAACAAGAAAAACAAACAATGCAGTTATATATTTATAGAGAGAAAATTTATTTTGTGGTTAACATGCTTATCTAAAACTGTTGTATATTTGATGATGAATATTCAGCTTAAAGCCTGGTTTACATATCATCGCAGACGATCGCAGAGGATCGCCCTTGATCGCCAGCGATCGTCTGCGATTATATATGACACAGCCTCTTAGCACTGTGAAGTCTCAATAATATTTTCCTGCTCTTCTATGTTCGCTGTGTTACATGACAAATGACTCGGTAACTGTTCTCTCAAAGAAAAAAGGGAAGAGCTTCAATCAGGACCATTCACTAACTATTCAATATTTCCAGCTGACACATAACTTTAACAACGCATATACAGTTGTTTTAGTCATCAACGTTATCTGTTACATTGGTGAAGAGAATGCTACGAAAAATGCTCCCTATTAGTGTGAAATGCCTAAAAAAATTAAGAAAGATCTAAAAAGAGTACATACGTAGGTAGCACTTAGCAGCAACTGTACAATTTCCACGTCTGCCATGGGACCGACCCAGTAGCGCTCGCCACACTGAACCAAATGCTCCTCTGCCTATGGGCTCACGAAAGTTCAGGCGGTCAACTGCAATCTCCCATCCATCAGCGCTTGCGATCAGTTGACCCATCTCAACTTCATCTTGCTCTGTACTGAATAATTGCAGATGAAAACAAGACTTTAACTGTCTTTGTTACCCATCTATTATTTTTTTCTCTGAATGTGTCATCTTTATTCCGTTCTTTTTTTTAACAAGAGTCGTGTTGTCTTCTTTAGTGATTTCATAGAATTAATTTACAATTTGTATGTAAACGAGTTTATGACTTTTAATAATAAAAGTCATTTACAAAACCCGTTTTATTCCGTAACCTGCTAACATGATCCTCTACATCTGCATATAAAGAAAACGTATCATTTAGAAAGGAATCTATCCGAAAGTTTTGTGATACTCTCTTAAATCAAACAACAACAAACATATGAAACATATGTGTGAACTGCGGTTATGAGACGTATATGAGAACGATCCTTCGCAGTAAAGCACTATTTGAGCAATAGTGAAAATCAGACCTGAAAAAAATTTCAGGCCTGTACGGGACTCGAACCACTGACCTCTGTGATACTAGTGCAGCGCTCTACCAATTGAGCTAACAAGCCAACTGGGAGCAGGCCATCAAATTAATTCGATATAAACCCGTAGATGATAAATCAAACAACAACAAACATATGAAACATATGTGTGAACTGCGGTTATGAGACGTATATGAGAACGATCCTTCGCAGTAAAGCACTATTTGAGCAATAGTGAAAATCAGACCTGAAAAAAATTTCAGGCCTGTACGGGA